TACAACTCTACTCCGACCAGAGGTGTTACGAGATTGCAAATTCTTATCATCAACTGGCCTAACAGACTCAGGTCCCGATTGAACAGGTCCTGAACCTGTCATTGCCCCACCGACGTTCCTGGACTCCCTATGTGACTCCCCCCTCCTGTAAATGGGGGCAGATGCTGCAGATTTCTCCAATGGTTCCAGATCATGGAAGACGTTGTCTAAGTCACAACTCCTCACCATCATATCACGATACTCTCCACCGGATTCACGTACCGGATTCACGTATGTGTCAATATTTTCACAAATCTTCTATCTTTCAAATCCAACCTTTAACATGACGCATCTACTGTATACGCAAACTACCCAGCCTTACGCAAAATATTGTTGCCAAAATACTATTCGCAATACCTTCCGCTGTCTGGTTGCAAACCTATAAATACCTTGTAAACTAGTAAAACACTCGCTGTTAAAAAGTAACTCTGTGCGTGAATAAACGTGTCTATACTCAAACTACTCTTTTCAAGTAAGTCATCTTTTTTTTTCATAGAAGTGTTAATAAGAATAAAAAAGAGGTTTTTAGTCTTTTATTGAAGTGCGTTTTGAAGTTACTCAAATCTGGCGAGCGTTGGTCCACTTTCGAACCTTTTTTATGATAAAATACTATTCGCAATACCTTCCGCTGTCTGGTTGCAAACCTATAAATACCTTGTAAACTAGTAAAACACTCGCTGTTAAAAAGTAACTCTGTGCGTGAATAAACGTGTCTATACTCAAACTACTCTTTTCAAGTAAGTCATCTTTTTTTTTCATAGAAGTGTTAATAAGAATAAAAAAGAGGTTTTTAGTCTTTTATTGAAGTACGTTTTGAAGTTACTCACGTACCGGACCACGTTCTTCAGGCAGGGGTTCAGCTCTTTGGCACTCCTTGGATACACGCTTGGCTCGTTTCCGGAACACATTCAATCTGTCTCTGAGACTAGCAAATTCTCCCACCAAAGATAAATCCCCCCTGGTCAATAAAACTTCCGAGATTTTCTGCTCAATACTCCCCAAAAATGCATTTTAACTAGACTCAATAGCATCACCCGATTGAGGAATGGAGCAAGCAGTTTCCCCCCATTTAAGTATCTCAGTTTTAAGAAGGGAAAAGTCCTCTCTCAGTTTTGCATCGATAGAATTAGTAACACCCTTCGATCTAGTACGAATTCTGGGTTCAAAATGAGTTCCTCTACTGCTCTCATAATTATCAGCAGGAGTGGATGTATATCTATCGGGATTAAATCGATCAAATCGTACGGCTTCAGGCAAATTTAAGGTACCACTCAATCTATCTCCCTCCCCTTCAGATGTAGACCTTCTTCTGGCTGCCCCCCACATGGTTCAAGAACTTTGAGTACTAAGAATCAAAAAAATTTCCCTTGTTATACTCCCCATAAATTACCCTTTAGGGCATTAAGAGAAGATTAGGAAAAAAGAATTTAAAACCAGACTCTACTCAATGATTAGAGATGCCCTGTTGTAGCTTCCCAGTATTGATCAGGTAAGAACAAAGGGATTGGGTATTATTACATGGATTCATTCTCAGGATAAATTGTCTCAATAATTAGGCACCCTGTGCGATCATATCGGATACAGACCTGTAGATTGCAAGGGATTGAAACATTTAAGTGTCCTTCTTAATCAAACCGAATATGGATTCAGAGATTCAAATGGATCACAGGATTCAAATAATTTCTCATAAAAGAAGATTCATTTCACTCAACTCATTCGTGTATTTTTCCAATTATTGGCAAACACTACAGAAGAGTGAGAAAATGTCTCAACATAGGACTTAAATGTGACCCGGTAGTAATCTGGCCTGATATAGATCAGGCATATCCTACGGGTTACTTTCTTGGCTCAATGTCATCTCATAAAAAAAAAGATTCATTTCACTCAATTCATTCGTGTATTTTTCCAAGTATGGCAAACACTACAGAAGAATGAGAAAATGTTTCAATAAGGAACTTAAAAGATGAGCCGGTAGCAATCAAGCCTAATATAGATCAGGTAGATTCTGCGGGTAGATTCTTAGATTAAACTTTCTCAATTAAAATAACAATCCATTTTAAGGGCTTAAAGTTGATCCCATAAAGCGTATTGTGACTGAATGTTACGCAACTGGCGTTGCCTTAGTTTATGCAAAGTTAATACCGTGCTGAACTTCTTTGAATCGAACCTTAAGCACCCTGACTCTCACTCTTCCTCATGATGAATAAAAACATAGAGAAAGGGCTTCAAACTTTATTCAGGTTGACAGCTTCAGTCTTTGAAATAAAAATAAAATTCGTTAATTTCACAGAAAAAGCTTTGATGAGTATGTTACGAATAGAACAAAAGACATTTTACCCATCAGGCATTAAAAAACTATTAACCGCCCATAGTTTATCATACATATATCCAATACAAAGAACCAAAAAAAATTATTTAACATTTACGAGCACACTTTCTCACGTTATATCAAATACAAGGAATACAGGGATATCTTAACATTTAAAAGCATATTTACCACAGTTATCCGCAGTCTTTCAGCACAAAATAATCACAAAAACCATTCTATAAAACTAAATCTAAGTCGGGTAAATATACTGTAAAAACTTATAAACAAAGAACACATGTATAAGCTGCATCTGCGCAGTACAAGCAAAACATACAACAAAACAGGTTTTCTTCAAGTTCAACTCCTTCTGGAAACATCTGTACAGAACTTCCTTTCCTTGTAAGGCTGAATAAGAATTCCCCAGGGAACAGGGGCATTTCACAGACTCTAGATACTCAGCGTGAGCTAACAGTAATATTCATTGCCGCAATTGAATAGATTTTGGATAATCTGCATTTCTGCATTAGTTGTAATATTTATCCCTCATGTTGTACATAACCTTTTGAATATTATAATATTATCCTATTGTTAATGTTAAGATACATTTTAAAGAAGACACATTCATGGCTAAATTGAATTTATCCTTTCATTTTACTCTTTTATATGTTATATTATATTCTTTGTTTGCGTTTCCCCTTTGAGGGGTACGAAATTCCGACACATGCCCAGTTCAATAATTATCCCACAAGGAAGGATGCTCTTAATAGGCGAAAATACAGTGCATTTAGGCCTTAAACTCCCTTGAAACCATAGATTTCACCATGGGATCCCAAAATTCCCTGTGCACGCCTCTGACGGTTTTTTTTCCATGTAATTACAGTTTTTTTTAGTTTTTTTAATTCATCTATTCATATAATGATTCACATTCGGACCTAATGTATTATAGCTTATTGACAATTTAATGGAGGGTGACATAAAATATTATAAAAAAAGGGATTACGTATCATTAATAAGAAGTATTACATTATTGTCCAATAGTGTTAGTAATTTGTAATAATTATGTATCATTTATATAAATTTACAGTATTTATATATTTAATAATATTTCATGATATTCAAAATTTCCTATTTGCTTTTTCATAATTGAATAAAAATTAGTTTTTTTCTGCCATAAAGTTTTTGAGAAATACGATTTATATGTCACTCTCTGTAATGTAAGTTAACTACAGAGTGAGGTCGAAAAAAGGGTGAATAGCAAGAACTTGCATATAATAAAGCAATTTTTTTGGTAATCTCATCTTAACAAATATGACTGAAATAAAAGAAATATTATTTCTATCTCACCTTTAAATCCTGAATGGATCAGATCAGTAGTTTCTGAGAAAATACGCGAAATCAAATTTATAAAATCCGAAATTTTGTTTTCGAAAAAATCATTTGATAATTTTTATAAATTTTCATTTTTTTTATTTAATTTTAGTAAAAAAAAGGTTTGCAGATTTTTTTTTATAGAGTCTTTCAGATTGCCTATAAAACAAAATTTTTTTAATTTCATACATTGTTGTTAAAAATGAGAATAACAAAAAATGCTTCTTTAAAATTCAAGACCTCGCTATTTGTCCCTTTTTTGACTCACCCTGTACATTTAACCACAAAAATTTCACATTTCTCAAAAAAACACTGTGGTAAAATTGCTCCAATTCAGCTACGTGTTTTCAACAAATTTTTGTTCGTTTACAGACATTTTTTGTAAACTAAAATTTCTCTCCTTAACGAAATTGATGCCCAACTACAAACATGTATAATTAGATGAAGTTATGTCAAAAGAAAAAAGACTCAAGTGACAATCGTTCTTGAATAGTTTCCTTCAATTTTCTTAGGATAAAAATATTAAAAAGATTGATTAAAGCAAACAGTAACATAATACAGTTTTGAAATTATAAAAGTTTTTGTTTTAAATAAAGATCCAATACGATCAACAACAATGTGCTTTTCACTAGTCTTACCAGCTTACAAAATGTTTTAAATATAATATCATCTTTATGAGAGTTCATCAGTACCTTAAAACTGCAATTGTTTTTCAATAGTTTTTTTATATAACCAACTTATAGTTCTATGCAAAGTTATATATGTACTGTGAGTGTGAAGTGTGTATCTCTTCGAGTTGCACAATTAAATGCTTTTTTTTGTTTTGTTTCTAAGAAGGCAATTAAAAATCCAATTAAATTTCGTAATTTCCTAGAGAACGATTTTTGGACCCCCCTCCCCCCAACCATCCGCATCCTATCAATTTTGTACATTACACTCATATGTAACACATATATCATGTGGCCGCAGCCCCAGGCCCCCTAGCCTTCCACTTCCACTTTCGATCCCAAAAAGACCAATTAAACACCAATTTTTCTTTATTCGGCATTTGTACGTTTTAATAAAATAACCAAATAAAACAAAGTACTTTTACAGAAAGAACATAATTTTTTAATTTTTCAAAGCCTGATAAACAATGCACATTAAATATATGAAATGTCAACAAATTAAAAAATTGAGATAGGTTTATCAATTATTCTACTCCGCAATACTATGATATGTAATATGTTTTTTGAGTATTTTTTATTTTAATAATCAGAGTTGTTCACAAAGAATGAGACTGCACTGCCATTCTTAAATGTTTAATTTAGATAAACAGAGTTACAAAGAATGAGAAATCAAAGACGAAGGTACGGAACTTATGCTGTCATAGAAATAAGCCATTCAGCAACCAGGCATCATCATATTTAAATAGTTTAGGGTCGTCTTTACAGTCTGATCATCTGATGGTAACCCTGTATATGCATCTACTGTATATGTTTATTCTTCTATCCCTAGAGTTGTTTTCTCTGAACAGTTTTCTCTGTGTATCAGATCAAGGTTAATTTGAACCAAAGGTTGCAACTCTGTCACATTCATCTAAATATTTTATACTAGTTGGAGGGCCCGGAATTACCCGTGAAAAAAAAATATTTAGAAAAAATAAATATTGTTGAAAAAAATTGATTTTTTAGCCTATCTCCCAGCGTTTATAGCCGTTTAGCCAGCTATAGGCAACATATATATATATGAAGGTACAGATAAATATCTATGTAAAATAAAAACAAATAAAAACAAGTTTTGCCCTTCGTAAAACAACTTTTTCTTTTTGAAAACGCCATAAACTTCAAATAGAAAATTAGAAAATGTTCGGAGATTTAATTAATTCTATTTTTTTAAAGAAAACTTTACTCAGTTTTACTATCATTTAATGTAATGGTTCTATATTCAAAACATACTTTTAAAGCTTAAAGATAAAGAATAAAGATTAAAAAAATAGCCCGTTTAAAAAAGTATCGAAAGGTATCTATTCGTTTAATTAACACTCAAATAAATATACCTGAATATAGTCTGATGTAAACTTGAATCCACTGGACTCACAACGATTTTCTATCCCTCGTATACTGAAAAACATTTTTTCAGATAATTTGGAAAACATGTTAATTTAATTTTTCTATTTTTTTTGTAGCAGAAATTTTCCTGTCTAGTTTCTGCTCCTGGCTAAAGTTTCTGTTACTGTGTCCTGGTTAATTTTTGTTACCTATAAATAATTCTGAATAGTTTCTGTTACTTATATATTGTCCTGAATAAATTCTGTTACTTATATACTGTCATGACTAGTTTCTGTTACCTATATATTGTCCTGAATAGTTTCTGTAACCTATATATTGTCCTGAATAGTTTCTGGTACTTATATATTGTCATGACTAGTTTCTGTTACCTATATATTGTCATGAATAGTTTCTGTTACCTATGTATTGTCCTGAATAGTTTCTGTTACCTATGTATTGTCCTGAATAGTTTCTGTTACCTATATATTGTCCTGAATAGTTTCTGTTACCTATATATTGTCCTGAATAGTTTCTGTTACCTATATATTGTCCTGAATAGTTTCTGTTACTTATATATTGTCCTGAATAGTTTCTGTTACTTATATATTTTCATGACTAGTTTCTGTTATCTATATATTGTCATGAATAGTTTCTGTTACCTATGTATTGTCCTGAATAGTTTCTGTTACCTATGTATTGTCCTGGCTAAAGTTTCTATTGCCTAGATGTTGTCCTGGTTAGTTTCTGTTTTCTATATATTGCCCTGGTTAATTTCTGTTACCCATATATGATTCTGAATAGTTTCTGTTAACTACATATATTGCCCTGGCTAGTTTCTGTTACCGACTTATTATTCTAGGTTCTTTCTGTTACCTATTTATTGTCTTGACTAGTTTCTGTTACCTATATTTTGTACATGCTGGTTTCTGTTATCTACATATTTTCCTAGTTAGTTTCAGTTTCTACAATACCTATTGTCTTGGTTAGTTTCTGTTACCTATATATTGTCCTGGGACAGTTTCTGTTACCTATATACCTGGCTAGTGTGTATGTTACCTATATTGTCCTGGCTAGTGTATGTTACCAATATATTGTCCTGGCTAATGTGTATTCTATCTATATATTATCCTGGCTAATATATGTTACCTATATTGTCCTGGCTACTCTATGGTACCTATATATTGTCCTGGCTAGTGTATGTTACCTATATTGTCCTGGTAACAGTAGTTTCCAGTATTCTCCAAGATTTGAACTTCTAACATTCCTAGTTTTTATCCCAGTTCCAAGATTTTGAACCTTTAAAATCAAATATCTACTTTAAAGATAATTGAGATATTAGAAAATATATCTCAGTTAAAAATGTATGCCATTAAAAAAGAATAATTTAGCCACTTTTTGGAAATAAAAAAACTGTAAATATTGTCTAGCTGTAAAGTGTCTCTATAAAATTCTCTTGCATCGTTTACCTCGATATTTGCATTGCTAATATTTATGCTTTCTTTCTCACGTAGATTTCGACTCACTAACCCTTTGAAACCACGATGGACCTAAAACATTTCAACATTTAAAGGGACAGTCTGGCTATGTATGGTAATTGAACTGAGTATGCAGTGTTGTGGACAAATTCTTTTGGATTTAAATTTATCCAGACAAAAAAATTGTTTTCGTTTTTAAAATGTGTTTTGAATCTTAACTATTTACAATGAAATTTCAAAAAACTGAGAAATGAAAGGTTGGACTGTATACTTAAAATAAATTTATTATTCTTTTTACAAGTGTCAACAAAATTGTTAAAAATAGACAGCGCCAAGATCTTTCACTAAATTTAATTTTGTAGCATAGAATATATTTTTAATGTATTATGAAATAAAGCTTTAAATAGTGTCACCTGTTCAATATATGCAAACAAGCTTTCACGATTTTCATCCCAGCGTTGATTCAGATAATATCTAAAAAAATAATAATATTTTATTCAAAAGTTCCGAGAAGTTTTAAATAAAAAATATCGTTTTACACAAAAGGTTCATACTTAGGTCAAAGGGGGACTCTTTTCAAATAAAAGATCAATTTATACCCTTCAAATATTGATGAGGATACACTTATGTTAAGTAAATTATTGTCGAGATAACCAAGGCCTCGAGGTTTATCAGGTTGGTTTTCCTAGGGAGATTAGACTACTCAAGGTACAGTCCCTAGGGTGTCTATATATACCAGGTTGGTTTCCCTAGGGAGATTAGACTACTCAAGGTACAGTCCCTAGGGTGTCTATATTTATCAGGTTGGTTTCCCTAGGGAGATTAGACTTCTCAAGGTACGGTCCCTAGGGTGTTTATATTTATCAGGTTGGTTTCCCTAGGGAGATTAGACTACTCAAGGTACAGTTCCTAGGGCGTCTTTATTTATCAGGTTGGTTTCCCTTTGGAGATTAGACTACTCAAGGTACAGTTCCTAGGGCGTCTATATTTATCAGGTTGATTTCCCTAGGGAGATTAGACTTCTCAAGGTACAGTCCCTAGGGCATCTATATATACCCTTCAAATACTGATGAGGTTACACTAATGTTAAGTAAATTTGTGAACCATATCCCTCAAATTTCCCCTGTTGTAAAGGTCGTCTCCGACAAACTGTACCTCCGTTGAATCTTCTTCGTCCACTCACCAAACCAAACCTTGCCAAGGATTTTGCATAAACGTAAACAACAGCCGCATGGAGCTAATAAAACTTTAAGTGCGTTAAAAGAACCCATTTAAACATAATTTCTCCTTTCCCTCTTTCGAGTATTATTCCTTTTGTTCAGCTCACAAAATTATATTTAATAACTTGCGTACAATTTTAAACACTAAAACACGGATTACTCTACTGTTGATGATCATCTTTAAAGGGTACCATTGTTAATTGAACATGGCATCACTATTAGTGGAGGGTCACTTGAAACTACGCCTACAGTCCCTTTAAATATCTATGTTGTATGGTTTCCCTTTAAACAATAGTTTACTCACTTTTTAGGATATTTGCAGCATGAGACCTCGAGAGTAATCTCCATTCCGTTAGAGTAAATATAGTTAAAGTCCTGCATTCCTCCAACTATATATTTCCCAGCTGATTAGTATAACTATCAGATTATACCTAACTTTTTTCATAAATCGTACAGGGTGTCCCAATAAACATGGGAATTGAGAGACGACTTGAAGATCGTCTTTGATTTCCAATAATTGACAGATGACATATTAATCAGTTTTGTTTATTTTTAATTCACTGGAATCTGACCAAATGTCCTGGTATCTCCATCAATTTTGAAAAATGGTAGACTTCATTTTTAAAATCCAGTAGTTTTCGGTGTTAAATGTTTTAACTGTGATACTTTAAAATTATATTTACGAAATAGCAAAGACGATATAGAAGTTGGGACACCCTGTGCATATATAAAGCAGATTTCTCTTTAAGTGCTGATTGATTTCCAATATTTTTAAAATTCAACTTTTTTTCTTGGCCAATTCTTCAAGCCTTCCTGGGGTCATTAGTGGGCACGATCAGCACAGCCGTTTTAACGTTTATTGGGCAAGAATTTTAGATGAAAATAATTTTATTTTTAATCATTAAAAGACCCCCCCCCCCTCTCTTTTATTCAAATTTGCCCTTTTACCAAAATTTAACCCTTTCACGATTCACTCGACCCTTTTTGTATTATTTAAGCTACAGATCTTTAATTTCTTTTAATTTAAAAAGCCCTAGAAAAATGAATGTAGTAACATTATTTTATGAGATGGCCTTGAAAAGATAGACTTAGGACATGCACAATGCATTATATGATGCAATCCCCTATCTCAACTCTAAGGACAAAATCAAAAAAGGGGGGATGAAATCCCCCCCCCCCATCTTTATTAGACCAAAATAGCCCAAATATAGGATTACGTTGCTGGTAATATTAAAAATCAATCTAAGTAGGATAAAAGGGTAAAAATCAAAAGGAAATTTCATAAAACAGAAATTGCTAAATTTTAAAATATGTAATTATCAATAGATTACCCAGTGCATACCAATCAGCTCCATTCGTTATTCCATCCTGGCAAATAATTTGAATGTTTTTAACATTCTGATATTAAAAAGAATATTTATTAAATGTCCCAAGTAAGCCATACCAATTACCCAATTTTCAAACTTACACCAAAATTTACTATTTAGAGATATTTTTAGATAAAAAAGTTGGCACCTCGAATCTCCATTTTGTGCATTTTGAAGTATCCTTCATTGTAAGATGATTATCTGCATATGTGGAGGCCAGGTGTTTAAAAAATGCATGATCTTCTGTTTGATGAATTCCTCTCGGGACCATTCCACTAGAAAACTGCATTAGTTATCAAAACTTACAATGAATGTGACCTTGACCAAGGAAAGTTATTTCAGAGGTGTACGCATCTTTTGTACTGCAGTGTACTGTTTCTAAGCGGTATTGTAAACACAAGACGGATGTCAAAGCATGACATGGGATCCATCTTTCACATAAATAATCAATTAAATATTCTGGTCATAGGAAACTATTATGTGAATTATCAAAATTATCAAAATTTAAAGCTTTTAACCTCCTCAGATACTACTTTTTTCAAATCATCCACGGATTTTCACGAATTTTATAAAATTAAAAACTTTCTCAAAAACTCTAAAAAGAAAGTGCATATATATATATGCACGATTTAAGTTTGGAACATACAGTGATACTTTTTACAAATTTTGCAGAATATATATTTTTCAAACCCGTTTTCAAAATAATTAAGAATTTTTATTTTATGTTAATATAAACCTTATTCCTGATCGGTTTCGGGTTGTTTTAATTGATCTCAAATGTTTTTTATACAGGATGTCCCAATAAACATGGGAATTCAGTGACGAATACGATATCGTCTTTTTAAATAATTCTTTGATTTAGTTTATGGTGATACCTACTGAGAAAGCTGTAATCTGTAAGAGTTTCGTCTGCTATGTTCACATTTTTTTTGTTTATGTTTTGACTGCATACGGTTGTACTTAGTAAAACAAGAATATTGCAGAATACAAACAGAGTAAACTTGTCCGTCTTCACTGTTCATCTTGCGGAGACATTAAAGACACATCTTTACAGTCTTTTACCCTTTTCATAAAATAAACTCTAGCAGACATAATAATATTATGGCTTTTGAAATTAGGTATTACAATGCTAAATCATAACAAAGACTATCAAATTCGTCACTGAATTCCCATGTTTTTTGGGACACCCTGTATTATAATAATGTATTACCTGTAATAATCATCATAAGGATATGATGCCACCACGGCTCCGCCATGAAAGTTTGCCGATAAAACCCAGGGCTCAGATGTAATCAATTTCATCAAAGCCTAAAATTATTTTTTTTAGTGTTTAAATTTTTGCTTAACGTTGTTTAACAAAGAATGTGGAAAGAGAACTGCAGAACACTGTTGAATAGGATCAGGTGACAATATAGCAATAATTTTTTTTAAAAATTCCTATTTCTTTGCAACCTGATGGTGTAAACTTTTGATATTTCAAACTTAGATCTAACAGAATTTATAGTTTGAAATATCTTTTGTCTAATGTCTACGATATTGGGTTGCACAAGTAATGGGTCAGAAAATCAGAGTTTGACAAAATTCCTTTCTATTGAACCTGGATAATTCAGTTTTTTAAATTAGCTTGTTTCAATAAAAATTGTTGCATACCAAAAAACAAGCTTTTTTTAAAAAAAAAGAAATCCATTCCTAATCTTTTACCTGGGTTTCTGGTTGTCTGCCCTTCATATTCTCTTCTAAACTGTTTTTAACATCCCGCCATGTTGGAAAATCTCTATTTAGATCCTTGTTACCCTCGTTGTACCGTCCAGTCTTGAAATCTCCTCCTTAAAGGGACTGTTAGTGGATTTTTAAGTGAACCTTCATGCAAAGAAAGCAATGCCCGATTAACTTACAAGTTTGGTCTGATCAAACGTGAATTAGAAATCTGTAAGTAAGTTGCTTACAAGAAACAACACACCTATTATCTGATTTTCTATTAAGAAAAACGACGATATCCTTCACATTTTTGATCAGATTAAGATTTTAAGGGTATCGTTGCAAATGAGAAATTGCTATCTTTGTATGTAGAGTCACTAGAATTTAGTTCCTATCGATACAATTGATCCTTAAAGAAAGCAAAAAACTAAGCTTGTGGCGGTTATGAATGTCGCCTTCTCTCCTCTGAATCCTACGCGGCAGCTGGTCCGCCAGGAGGGAGTTTTAGAAACACAAGATATATTTCACCAGTACAATGATTAGAAGAAATGATACATCATTGGAAAGCTCTGATGCTGTACTTTTAGAATCTGCAAATAAATTTGCAAAGCAAAAATTGATTTTTTTCAGCAAAATCTGCAGTTATAAAGTAAAAATGTTTGCCAAAAAAAGTCATAACAAATAATTAAATATACCTTTTTGAAAAGCTCTTGACCATGCCATTTCGAATATGTAAGAATAAATTGGAAAATTTTTAATAACCTAATGTGTAATTAAGGAAAAAAATTTCTTTTGCAAAATTTTTGCAAAAGGTTCTTTGCAAAACTTGTGCAATTAGTTTCCTTATGTCATAGGCTTTCCAAAAAGCTAAAAATTATCAAAATCTGAAAGTGTGTCAAAACAATGATTTAGTTAGGAAAAAGTAGTCATTCAGGCAGTGTGCCTGATATTTCAGGCAGTTAGTTTAAAAGCCCGGGTTTAGACCTTAAGGGAGGGCTACGGGTTTTTAGGAAAAATCAGAAAATTTCAACTGCCTCAAACCAATACATTTTGAGTTAAGTAAGAAAAACCACAGGGGGGGATCAAATAACCACCCCCCCCCCCCCAACAGGAATATGGTTAAAAAAATTTAGCTTACAGAGGAAAATTTGAGTAGAAAATACAATGGAACTGGGTCAAAGCTCAAATACCAAAAAAAATAACAAAATTTATGCTAAAAACTTTTACAACTAAACTTATGATTAAATATGAAGAAGATGTACCTCATAGAGAATACAATATATATTAGAGGGGAACTTACTAGAAAAAAGTGTAAAACGGCCATTTCGTTGTACTGTTTCCATACTGCAGGTGTACTTCACATATTTATGCTTTATAACCTTTTGGGCCCTGGAATATCATTTTATTGAAAATCTAAAATTAATGTTAAAAGAAAGCCAAATTATGAAATAGGCTGGTTTCATAATTGACCAATGATCATTTCACATAGACTCTATGCCTTCCACTTTACAAACGATAATTTTCCGTTATAACTATAAATCAAATGATGTTTTTATTCACAGTTTAAAAAATTCGAAATTGAATGGATAGTCTAGTGAACATATTCTGTATTAATGTACTCTACTGCATATAATTTTTAAACATTTACATGATTTGTACACTTTGAACTCCCTTTCAGGCTGAAAGGGACTGAAAAAATTCATACCGAGAGATTCTTTAAATTCCCCTCTAATATATATTCTATTCTCTATGATGTACCTACTATCTACATGGTGAGCCAGCTGTGGGCTAGATTGTAAATGTCTGTAGCTAAACATGTTATTTCGTTTTTAACCTCAGATTTGGATTTCTGAAGATATTTGGCAAAGGAATTGAGTCTTTCCCACAAACGTTGATTATTTTTACCGTTATCTTTGAAAGCAATAATGTCGTAGAATTAGAGATTAGGTTATCTAAGTTTGAAATGTTGAAGATGTATACTATCAAGTTGTTAAAACAAATTCGAAATATAAGGAAGACGATTGTTCCGACTCAAATGCCGATGTTAATTCCCTGGATGTGTGTGTACACTGAATACACAGAATCCTTTTCCGCCATACAACACACCCCACATGTCAAATCTCCGCTCAACCTAGCTCCCGCTTCACCAGTCAGTCAGCGGAAAACACTCACGAGATTCACAACTCCGTCTCAACCCTGGCTCCTTTGTGATGATGATTCAGATACGGAACCAACAACAGAAGACACTGCTTACACCTAGCTCCGCGCTCCACAAAGTTCCAGAGATCCGGGCGGAACCAGACTTCCTTCCATTATCCTGTATACAGGATAAGTCCGCAATCTCTCCCTCCCACAGGAGAAGGTAACAATAGTTCGCTCCGCAGGAGAAGGTAACAATAGTTCGCTCCGCAGGAGAAGGTAACAATAGTTCGCTCCGCAATGTTCCAGAGATCCGGGCGGAACCAGACTTCCTTCCATTATCCTGTATACAGGATAAGTCCGCAATCTCTCTCCCTTAGACTAAGCCTAGTTGTGAGAAAGCCTGCCGTCAAGATTGATGATCTGCATCACCATCATGAAGTTCTACAAACACCTTCTAACTGATATTCGTCTATAGTTTCTTTATTAATTTCTAAACCAATCAATTTAAGCCCCACTTGGGAAAATATTTCATAACCTTTTGTTTTAATAAATAAAGATTAGAAATACCGTTAGATCTCTTTTATTTCATTTTAAAGTCAACACAAGTATATATAAAAAGAAATACTTTGCACATTTGATTTTATGGCAAAGGCTTAATTCCTTAAAACGCAGAATTAAAAAAAACTATGAATTGTCTTTAATTGACATCCTCTCACTGACCTGAACATTCTCCTTCTTTGCTTCTATCAAATCCGTCTGGATTCATTGTTGGAATTATTGTTATATTTGTATAATATATAATATATAATATATAATATATAATATATAATATATAATATATAATATATAATATATAATATATAATATATAATATATAATATATAATATATAATATATAATCAGAGCTGAGCTGGCAACTTTTGTGTAGGATACTTATATAATCCCGATCCTTTGATCTCGATATCCATTGTGGGCACTTTTAATTTCAGGATATATAAAAACTGCACCTTTCCATATCTCCGTTTTCAACTCCTGATCTCATGATCAAAGGTCAAATGATCTTTTGCTAATCAGAAAATTGATTTTACCCTTTCACAATTGGGGGGTGTTTTTCACCCCCCCCCTATGTTTTTTTCTAAATAACTCAAAAACGACTTCATTTTTTCAACATCATAGTTGTAAACAAATTTTTGCAATATTTTTTCATGCTTAAGTTGAGTTGGGAGGCAGTCATAAGGCAGGTCGGTGTTTCAAAAAAATCAGAAATGGTTTTTAACTTTTTATTAATTAACCTACATGATAGCTAAAATTTATATATTTAAAAACAATTGAAAAATGGATGTAATTTAACATGCATCACACCACACAGTAATATTTGTCAAATGTAAAAAAAAAAACATTTTTTCGACGCACTTTCCTTCATTTTTTAAAATCCTCCCTCCACCCCAACCTTAAAGCAGGCCTTGAAAAGTTGGACTAGGGACAAGTATCACACTCCCCTATCTCAACTCTAAGGGTAAATCCCCCCCTCTCCCCGCACAAGCTATATTAGACAAAGATAGTCTGATCGGGACCAGGTTAATCTGTATTTGATATCCAGCATGTTAATCGTATCCAGTCAGGGGTTGAAGAGAGATTTGATAAAGATTAGGAATAACTAAGACGAAGATGGTAAAACAGATCCTAAAATTAAAATTGCCCACAGTGGATATTGAGATAAACCAATCGGTATTATGAGCATCAATCACAAAGTTAACCAGCTCTGTATGTTCTTGCTATTATAACAATTAGAAAAAAAAAACTGTATTCTTTGCAACAAAAATAGTAAAATCTAAATGTTTAACTTTTTGGAGTTTCAGGATGAATGTAAATGAAAATAAATGAACAAATCAGAAAATTTGAAATTATTGATTGATCCTAATTCCTGGATTTGTTTTACTTCAAATTAATCTGAAAGAACTACAACGTATCAAGGTTTATTGGTAGCCCTGCTTACAGTAAGAACTAGAAAACTGTGGAATTATAAGACGATTTTCAGGCTTATGATATGATTTTAAACAGTCCAATACACATTTGACACAGCATCATGTGCAGAGCACACAGACCCATTTTACTTTTTAAGGTAATTTTTTTAGCCATTAGTAAAACTAATTTCTTTGTAACAACATAAAATACACTTAAAGATTGCTTTTGTCGTCTTCCCATTCCAGAGTTTTCTGGTTATCTCTGTATGTCATAATTAACATTAGTTTGGACTGAAATTACCTAAAAGGTTTGTTATTCTCTGATCTCCGTTCTTATACCCTTGAACTAAAACTCGGATAAGGTGAACCAATAATTCACGACCCACCGGTTCATTTCCGTGTATGTTTCCAATGTACTTCACCTATGGTACAAGTACGTGTATATTTCCAATGTACTTCACCTACGGTACAAGAACGTGTATATTTCCAATGTACTTCACCTACGGTACAAGAAAAAAAATTATGGTTAAAAAGTTGTATGATCCGAACCAGCACCACAGTGCTGGTCTAGTCTTTACAGTACTGGCCCGTCTAGTGTACCCAGTATGCGGGTGACTTGACGTGTTTTATGCAAAAGAATTAGGTGGGATGTGGTGGCGCATGTATACATATGTACAATAAGGGAAGTCAATCTTAGAAAGTCCACATGCTTCAGCTATACTTGTTACATATTGATCAAAAGATTGGTCTACAGAATTAAAAAGCGTTGTAATCGTAATAATATCTTTATAAATACAAAATTTACACTCGTAAAACGGTTTTAAGAATGAAATAAACCGTGTTTGAACTTCAACTCAAACAATTTTAAAAAGAACAAAAAACTAAAAAAAAGTGTGTAATCTGAGACCTCAGACGGATCTTTAGATCTTTTCCACATTTTATCCAATTATTTTTACCATTGATTTAAAAAATATACAAAACTAATTGCTTGAAATTGCATGTTTACCATCGGTCTGAGTTGCGCTCTATTACGTACACCGGCGGAGATTGCAACGCCAAGGATAGGCTGGTCGTTCACAGAGACTCCTACATCCAGTAGCTGGACTAGGTCAAGGTTACCTAGAGGTTTGGATTTTTTAAATCATTGACTAAATTTATAAATGTTGATAATATTGATAGTAAACATGAGAAATGGTAATATACAGGGTGTCCTACGAAACATGACAGTTGGTGAATAGTTTCGAATGTCTTAGATATAAATGACTTTTCGCAGTTTTTTGTTGAGTAGAAAACATCTTCCATACAATATTTTTATCATTCTCTTTGGTATCAAAACATCTTAACAAATTATGAAAGAAGACATTTTAAACTATTCACTGACAGTCATGTTTCGTGGGACACCCTGTAGTTAACATGTGTTTTTAGACTTAATTTATGACTTAAATAGTTTATTGAACAAGAAACACAGATATTGTACAGTGTGAACAGACCCAGACTCAGACAAAAGTAATTGTGATTTAAATGATTTTAACAATAATGGTAATAAGAATAATGATAATAAGAATAATAATATAAAAATGATAATTTTACATATTAATTATAATATTACTTGCAACTGTATCTCTGAGAATCTGATTAATCTTCTGGTTTGAAGTATAGGCCTGTAAAGGGCACCTTGTGGAACACCTTTCCCAGTCCTCAGCCTAACATACAGATTATAACATTAAACATAGAGATTAGACATTAACATACAGATTAGGTATTAACATAGAGATTATACATTAACATACAGATTAGATATTAACATAGAGATTAGACATTAACATACAGATTAGATATTAACATAGAGATTAGACATTAATATACAGATTAGGTATTAACATAGAGATTAGAGGGTTAATTTTAAACATAGAGATTAGAGGGTTATTATTAATTTAATAAACATAGACATTAGAGTGTTTATATTATACATAGAGAGATTTAATATCAATAATAAACATAGATATTAGAGGGGTTTGACATTATATATATAGATTAAATGGTTAATATTATATATAGATATTAGAGAGTTAATAATAATAGGATTAAAATTAACGCAAAGATTAGAGAGTTAATGTTAAACAAAATGAGAGTGTTAATGTTAAACAAAATGAGAGTGTTTATTAAGCACGCATGGACATTGAATCATCGTTGAAACTTGTCATTATTTATGATAAAAAAATTTATTACAATAAAATTATTATAACCTTTAAACTTGGAAGTTTTGCAGACTCATCCAAATAGCTGAAAAGAGTTAAAAGATGAAATTAAACTTGTAATATTTGTAATAATCCTATTTCAGAGGGCTACAAACTACAAAGCCTCATTTATATACTTTTTAAAAGTATTTTAGTTTTTTTAAAACATCCTGTCAAATTTTCCAAAAAAATCAAACACAAAAAAAATTAAAATTTTAAAGTTCCTTACTATACCTAACGAACGATTTAAACCTTTCGAATTAACTAATTCACGAATGAATTTTCTAACAAATTTTTGGAAAAAACTATCGTTTTTTAGTTTTTTTTATTGAACGACCAATTTCATTAAACCAACGATTTTACTGAACGAGCGATTTTAATGAAAAATCGTTCAGTAAGAAAACGAACAAAATAGATGAAAAATGAGCGTTTGAAATCGGTTGTTTAAGAACGACGTATAAAAAAGTCTAATTTTCCCATCTCTAGATTCAGGGTATGTCTTACCTAGTGGGGCAGCGACCGAAAGTAGTATTCCCTACTGGGGATATTGTTGTACATTCGTAGTGAGTGTAACCTAAGAATAAATTAAGTCTTTTTTCATGTTTTTTTTATTTTTAAATAATCTGAATATTAGAAGGTCAGAAGAATATTTATGAAGGCGATTAAAGGGAGTGTTCGCGAAAAATGAAAGGGAGTATAGGCTTAATGCGATAAAAAAGCTCTTTTGATCGCTGCTAATTTTACTTCTATCTGTTGCGTCTATAAACAGAAAATTGTAAAAAATCAATTTAATTTAAAACAAATCATTCAGATATGACAACCTATAGTTATCGATTATCTTTCGCCACATTTGTATATAGTTTATATTTTATAATATTTTATTTTATATATTATATTTATATTTTATAAAAACGTTTTAACGGATTTCGAAAAATGTGAGTGGTGCGAGGCATTCTTGTTGCGCCGCGACAAGAGAAATAATCAAATTCAAAACAAATTAATTAAAAAATATTTAAAATATAAACTATGTACAAATGTGGCGAAAGATAATCGATAACTATAGGTTGTAATATCTGAATGATTTGTTTGAAATTAAATTGATTTTTTTTTACGGTCTAAGTTGTATGTTGCAATTTTCTGAATTTGTATGGGCGCTAAGTCATTCGGTATGAGACGTCTTTAACAAATTTCTCCTTAAAGACGCAACAGATAGCAGTAAGATTATTAGCGATCAAAAGCGCTTTTTAATCGTATAAAGCCTATACCCCCTTTCATTTTTCGCGAACACTCCCTTTAAGATAAAAAATAAGAAATTAATACAAAACATATCTAGAGGGTTTCCCAAAAAGTTCCTTGTAACTGTAAAATTATCTAGATAACCGACACAATTTTTGATTCAGTCGCGTCATCCATCCCAGGTAGCAAAAGTGAGGAATTTATTCAAATCTCCAACTTTGGTGAATCGCTTTGGAGAATTACCTAAGAATTTCTGTATGACTACTTCCCAGGAAATTTCTAAGAAATTCTATTTAATTTGTCCCTCCCAGGCAAAGTTATAGTTATAGTATTTATTTTCAAACACAAAAGAAACTTTATTAGGAGCCAATTTAAAATACAATGTTTGATAATTTTGTTTGATAGTTTTTGTTGAAACAAAGTATACATATTGAACTCTCAACTGAATATACGTTCATTGTGCATTTACAAGTAGATAATTAGTCAGCACTCAAATAATCAAAACATTTTCAGGAATCCATTCATTGAACTTATGAATACATAATGATTCAACAAAAGTAGAAATGTATTCTCGTTGACTGTAGTAGACTTGACATCTACCTTTAGCAAAGGGTGTAAACCCATACTCGTTGACTTTAGTAGACTTTGACATTCATCATTAACAAAGGGTGTGAACACACACTCGTTGACTGTAGTAGACTTTGACATCTACCTTTAGCAAAGGGTGTGTACCCATACTCGTTGACTTTAGTAGTATTGTATATGAAAGAAAATAACTCAATGCAAACACTTGTAAATATAATATTCGTCGAGTCGGTTTTTCTTACAATTTATTATTTACAAAGATACAAAATGAAACGGTTGATACTATACTAATAGGATATTATGAATTGAAGCAGTTTCAGAGTGATGGGGAATCTTCAAGGGAACCTCAGTTTAAGGGAGCTGATGATCAACTGATTCTTTTTCCCCAGATTTCGCTCCACCCTGGGTTCGCATTTAACCCTAGCCTTCCTGTGAGCTGGCCGGCTAACCCACCAGCCCCCGGTTTCTGGGATAACGGTTTCTCCGCGTGGCTTGGGTTATTTATAGAATTCAAACACAAACAAGAATAAATCCGTTAGATATGACGAGGGATGGAAGAAGGGGTGGTGGGGAGAAACTGAGAATGATGGAAAGAAGGAAAAAATACTATTTATGATCGCAGGAAAGATCAATCCATCACTTTCCTGCTACAGTAGACTTTGACATTCATCATTGACAAAGGGTGTGAACACACACTCGTTGACTGTAGTAGACTTTGCCATCTACCATTAGCAAAGGGTGTGAACCCATACTCGTTGACTGTAGTGGACTTTGACATCCACCATTAGCAAAGGGTGTGTCTCGGCACGAAAACACAAGAGTTTAATTTTCTTTAAATTTAAAAATTGAATTCTTACCATTGTGAACATATGGGAATAGACAAGTTTCTCCTCTAATAGTAGAACATACTTCTACAGACTCCTTTTCAGAACCTTAATCAAATATGGGTATTAAATAGATTTTTAGCGTAATTAATTTCAAGTCACCCAGTGCAAATAAATTGATATTTGCATCGACACATTTTAAAGGAATATGGAGGATATGGCCTCACTTTTCTGACTCGAACAGTGTTAATTTAAGTGAGTTTCTTAATTGTTTCTGATAAACAAGATATGAGCAAGTAACTGTCGCAGAGCAACCGCAAATGAAAAAAAAAGTTTAAAGAAACAAAAACATGGATATCTATACATAGTTCATACTTAATCTAGGTTTATACAGCTGGAATCTAGGATTATACTGTTGGAATCTAGGATTATACTGTTGGAGTCTAGGTTTATACTGCTGGAATCTAGTATTATACTGCTGGAGTCTAGGTTTATACTGCTGGAGTCTAGGATTAACTGCTGAAATCTAGGATTAAACTGTTGGAATCTAGGATTATACTGCTGGAATCTAGGTTTATATAGCTGGAATCTAGGATTATACTGCTGGAGTCTAGGATTATACTGTTGGAATCTAGGATTATACTGCTGGAATCTAGGATTTTACTGCTGGAATCTAGGATTATACTGTTGGAATCTAGGATTATACTGCTGGAATCTAGGATTATACTGTTGGAATCTAGGATTATACTGCTGTAATCTAGGATTATACTGCTGGAATCTAGGATTTTACTGCTGGAATCTAGGATTACACAGCTGGAATCTAGGATTATACTGCTGGAATCTAGGATTATACTGTTGGAATCTAGGATTATACTGCTGGAATCTAGGTTTATACAGCTGGAATCTAGTATTATACTGCTGGAGTCAAGGTTTATACTGCTGGAGTCTAGGATTAACTGCTGAAATCTAGGATTAAACTGTTGGAATCTAGGATTATACTGCTGGAATCTAGGTTTATACAGCTGGAATCTAGGATTATACTGCTGGAGTCTAGGATTATACTGTTGGAATCTAGGATTATACTGTTGGAATCTAGGATTATACTGCTGTAATCTAGGATTATAATATACTGATGGAATCTAGGATTATACTGCTGGAATCTAGGATTATACTGCTGGAATCTAGGATTTTACTGCTGGAATCTAGGATTATACTGTTGGAATCTAGGATTATACTGCTGGAATCTAGGATTTTACTGCTGGAATCTAGTATTATACTGCTGGAATCTAGGATTATAGTACTGCAGGAATTTAGGGTTATACTGCTGGAATCTAGGATTATACTGCTGGAATCTAGGATATACTGCTGGAGTCTAGGGTTATACTGCTGGAATCTAGGATTATACTGTTGGAATCTAGGATTATACTGCTGTAATCTAGGATTTTATTTCTGGAATCTAGGATTATACTGCTGTAATCTAGGATTTTATTGCTGGCATCTAGGATTATACTACTGGAATCTAGGATTTTATTGCTGGAATCTAGGATTATGCTGCTGGAATCTAGTATTATACTGCTGGAATCTAGGAATATAGTACTGCATGAATCTAGAGTTATACTGCTGGAATCTAGGATTATACTGCTGGAATCTAGGATTATACTGCTGGAGTCTAGGGTTATACTGCTGGAATCTAGGATTATACTGCTGGAATCTAGGATTATACTGCTGAGTCTAGGATTATACTGTTGGAATCTAGGATTATACTGTTGGAATCTAGGATTATACTGCTGTAATCTAGGATTATACGATATACTGCTGGAATCTAGGATTATACTGCTGGAATTTAAGATTATACTGCTGGAATCTAGGATTATAATGCTGGAATCTAGGATTATACTGCTGGAATCTAGGATTATGCTGCTGGAATTTAGGATTATACTGCTGGAATCTAGGATTATAATGCTGGAATCTAGTATTATACTGCTGGAATCTAAGATTATATGCTGGAATCTATCTAGGAGATGATTTTACTGCAGGAATGTTTCTTTTCTGTCAATAATATCAATAATTGATGTGAACCAAAATATGTATTAGCAAGCAAACTTTTTTTGATTCCTATGTACAGCTGGGTTTTAAATAAAAAGATAAACCTGAATCATCAATATCTTCATCTTCTTCTTCTGGAACATCATTTTCTTCTTCTTGGTGTACATCAGTTGGGTAATATTCTGTATCTGAATTCGGACCAAATGTAGCTTCAGAATCATCCTGGAGAGTATAATCATTCTTATAGTCAATATCTGATTCAGTATCATCCTGATACTCAGCCCCTGCTGCAGAACCACTCTGGGGTCTGTTTCCGAAACTTTCTGTAGTTCCAACCTGGGATCTCTGAGAATCAAGATCATATACTTCCTCAAGCTCAGTGTAATCAGTTTTTCTGCTTCCAGGGCCTATATTTGGTTGATGAGAAATAACATTTACAGTGTAGACATGGTCCATCACAGTTTGCTTCAAACTTTCTGAAAACTTGTAAAATAAACCAAAACAGTCATACCAGAAAGATCCGGAATTAATTGACAGTTATTCAGAAGACTTGAAATACATATCTCCTGTAATATTAAACGCAGACAACATTTTGGAATTGGCAGGACTAGGGATATTTGGTTATTATCATATTTGTAAAATTGGATTGTAAAGTCGTCTGATTAATTATATATTAATTCCGTGTCCTTCTTGTTATGACTGTTCGTAAGATGTTCCCATCACCCTGGGTAAGTTCAAATTTATTTTACTCTGTTTGTGTGTTTCTCTTCGTTGATCTCGATTTTTGTATACGGTGTTTACAAGAAATATTCAAAATACTTATGAACAAACTTTATCGTTAACGATATTTGTAATTTTATTCTAATGAAAGTTTAATTTTTATCTTTAATAGACATTTTTAAACATTTAAAAAACAATCTTGTTTTAATTGCACTTAAGCAGTTTTTTTTAGTATTTTCCCTAATAAATGTTTGTTTAATTCTTTGAGAGATTTAATAATTCACGGTTTATCCACCTGCAGCCTGAGTGTTAAACTGTTCCTGAGCTTGAGCTTGAGCTGCTTGATCTGCTAGAGCATGAGCTAGAATTTGAGCTAGAAATTTAGCTGGAGTCCGAACTTGAGATTGAGATTGAGCTTGAGCTTGAGCTGGAGCTGGAGCTTGAACTGAAACTTGAGCTTGAGCTTGAGCTTGAGCTTGGGGTAGAGATTGAGCTAGAACTATAGACTGATCCTGACCTTGAGATTGAGACTGAGATTGAGCTTTAGCTTGAGCTGGAGTTTGAGCTGACACTTGAGCTTCAGCTTGAGCTTGGGGTAGAGATTGAGCTAGAACTTTAGAGGGATCTTGACCTTGAGATTGAGATTGAGATTGAGCTTGAGCTTGAGCTTGAGCGTGAGTTTGAGCGAGAAATTGAGCTAGATCTTTAGCCTGATCCTGACCTTGAGTTTGAGATAGAGTTTGAGCTTGAGCCAGGCTGATGATATTAAAGAATAGGAAGAAGTTCAACCCTGGTATCCTGCCTTTTATAATCATCTTCAATCTGAAATCCTTTTTAAAATGGTTTTTTTGTTCTAGAAATAGTTCATATTTAATATTTAGGTTTCAACATTTCAATCTTTCTTCATTTTTATTGTTATAGAAATTTCAGACCTTCATCATAAAGCATATGTCGAATTCTATAATTTTTAAAAACAACCTTGCTTCGAGAACAAGATCAAGCTCATTTGCTTTCTGGTATAAAAAATGATTTTAGGTACTTTACTGAAGGCTTTTCCAAAGTGGCAACTTCCCAAGTCTGTTCCACCTGCAGCATTCAGTCTTCTAGTCTGTTCTAACCCCATGTGGCGCCTTAGAAGGCATAACCTTAGCTTTGGGAAGTTACACATTGCACATATGGAAAGTTGCTGCTTTGGAAATTGTCACTTAGGAAGTCGCCCTTGGGAAAATCTAACACCCATAAAACACATGAATGATTTACAACATATTGAATGGNCTCTAAAGTTAGATGTGAATATACTCTATATACAATCTTAAATAGTTCTTTAAAATTGTCTTTTATATACCTGGGTTATCTCTAAATATATTTAATAATTTATAATATTTGATATTTTAGTTTAAACTTTTCAATCTTTTTAATTTTTTTTTATAGTTTACCAACTATACATTTTTCATAGAAAATTCGCACCTCCATCATTTAGCAGATGTCCAGTTCCAAAATTTGTAATAAGAAGCTTGCTTAAAGAACAAGACCAAGCTCGTTTTGTTTGTAATATATAAAATACATGAACGAATTACTACATATTAAAGGTGGTGGAGTTAACCCCCCCCCCCCCCAACACAAAACAGCTATTTTCTAGTGTTGAAGAACCTCAGCTGAGAAAGGGTTAAATGATCCTAAGTTAGATGTAAATATCCTGGACTGGATACTGTGAGCTGAGAAAGGTTAAAGTTAGATGTAAATATCCTGGACTGGATACTGTGAGCTTCTTTATAATCTAGTTTTCTCTTACGTCAATACATCTGGTCAACATAGTTTGCATATATATAGGTATTCATATTCATTTTCCTTGTTGGTTGGCTGGTTTCCATAATTGGTTTCCAAGGGGATCCAACAGTATATAACCCCCCCCCCTTCTAGTAAAAGAAGAGACCCCAACCCGTGATTTTTAAGATTTGATATTCTGTAAAAATTAAAACCTGAAATAAATAAATATTATTTTGAAAAGGAACTGAGTTCACGTCCCAAGTTCTAATATTCAAATTCCTATATCTTTTCGTCCTGACGGTGTAAACCTTTGATATTTCAAACTTCGACTATTTCATCGAACAGAATTCAGAGTTTGATAAAGTGAAGGTCTACGATATTGGATTTTAAAGATATAGTGATTAGAAAATCAGAGTTTGTTGTAAGAACTCAGCTCCTTTAGGTATAAATAATTGACTGATTTATTCTATATTATGATTTTTAAAAATTTAGGCCGATAACACCCCACCCCCCTTCTAGTGATGACAGATACTCTATTTAAAAGAAACCCAAATACTTTTCTTCTGTCTTCCGGAACTTTAAATTTTGAGTATTTCCATTTGTTGACGGAGCTCTTGTATTCACGAGTTCACTAGTATACTGTCTGTTCTCAACTGCTCCTGGCACCTGCTACCGTAGAAGCCAAAGAATAAAGATTAGACAATAAACCAGAATGACGAAATAGGCAGGCACTCTGCTATACCAGGAGGGGGGAGCTCAGTGGACTTTTAAAAACAATTTTGGGAGATTTAAATTATATGTCGGCTTCCCTAATTTCTCAGACATTTCGCTGTACTTCGGAACAAAATTCGCCCCCCCCCCCCCCCCCACCCCATCCTGAAATCTGCCTGGTAAATGGTCTCAGTATTTTATATGTTATTGTATCAACAATTCTTGGTTCCGGTTTGTGGCATCTTTTTTTTCAATTATTGCAGGGGGCTAATTTAAAATATAATATATTGCATCAATATTTAAGGTTTTTGTATTCTTTCTTAACCCTATTCCTGATGGGGGGGGGGGGATCAAATTGACCCCTCTGCTGATTCTTTTTACATATCTCAAAAAGTATTGGTCTGAGGCTGTTGAAATTTTTGGGCCTCCCCAGCTGTAGGTTTAAGACCGGGCTTTTTATACTAACTGCCTGAATGTATATTTTATCATATTTTGGACATTTTCTTTTGCAAACATTTTTACTGTAAAACTGAATTTTGCCGCAAAAAAATTTCAACTTTTGCAAATTTGCAATTTTTTTGCAGATTCTGAAAGTAGAGCATAAGAGCTTTCCAATGATGTATCATTTGTCATATTTGGATATCAAACATGGGATTTAGAGGTGGGAGGGGCGTCAAATTTACACCCCCCCCCCCCCACCAGTACCCCAGCAGGGATAGGGTTAAGGTTACATTTGGCCTGCACTTCGTTAAGTTAAAATTCCTTGCAGTCGTCTCTGAAGTCTCATTCTTTATGGGTAAACCTGTATATAAAGTAATATCTCTGTTTGTATGTTTGTTTGTGTATCAGATCATAACTTGACCGATTTGTTCTTAGCTTTTTTAAAAGTTTCAAGTTGAGTTTGTGAATATATATTCCAGGCAAAACTGGGTTCCCAAGATAGTATATGTTTACAGCAAAATTGAATTTATCCTTACAATCCTTTCTCCGTAATTCTTCTCTTAACTCTAGGAGATCATATTACAGTTGGTCAGATGGGACAAGTTTCATATGTAGGGGAACATTAGGAGGAGACAAGTTTTATATGTAGGGGCACATTAGGAGGTGACAAGCTTTATATGTAGGGGAACATTAGTAGGAGACAAGTTTTATATAAATGGGAACATTAGAAGGAGACAAGTTGTATATGTAGGATAACATTAGGAGGAGACAAGTTTTATACGTAGGGGAAAATTAGGAGGAGACAAGTTTTATATGTAGGAGAACAATAGGAGGAGACATGTTTTATATGTAGGGGAAAATTAGGAGGAGACAAACTTTATATATAGGGGAACATTAAAAAACATACAGTGTGGCCCAAATACAACTGTGGAGAAGAAAGACGACAAAAATTAATGTTTCTGATGTTTGCAAAAAGCAAATTAATACTTAAAGCTTTAAAATCAATTTATTATGAAATTGTATTGTACAAACTGCATCCTGCCTGCTTATGGATCTATTTCATGCCGAGGAAGTGATTTGCTTCATGTATGTGAAACAATTTATACGTGTAGTTCCAATTTTGCTTGTGAAAAAAATTGAATTGAAAAAACGATAGTTTTTTCCTTCCTTTTAAAAACGAAGTAAATTCCTTTTTTTCTATTGATGCATCAGAAAAGGCCGTAGGATGTAGAAATCTTTTACCCTTAATGTCCATCTTTTCTTGGGACCTGTTACAGCCTACAACACGATAGTGTACATCTTTCCCCAGGACTTGTTAATGATTTGTGACAGTGCTTGAGAGGTTGAGAGGCCTGAATAACAGTGAATCATACGGCACTGACCAGATTCAGGCTTTGTAACAATATCTTCAAATATTTAATCAAACTTTAAACCTTCATCTTACATGTTATAGTGAAATCTTGTTAAAAAGCTTTTCATGCAGATTATACCTTAACCCTTGGTGGAAGGGGTTTGGGTTGGCTTGATTTGTCACCTTCCAGGGGTTTTGGTACCCCTTGACCAGACTGTCCTTTTTATATTTCATTATTATTTCTGCTAAATGGATTCAAATATATTTTTTCTTCAGAATTTGAGATAAGCAAAGTTATCTAAAAGTGATTTCATAGAAACTAAAAGTTGTTTTTAGAATCGGACTAACCTGACAGAAAATAAAGGTAAACAACACAATTTATAATTTATTGTAATTCTAAAGAGACTGTACTCTGAATTTCAAGTAACCTTCCGCTTAAAGAGGGGCTTCCTCGATTCACAACTTTTGCAGAGAAACCAGAATTAAAAAAAAATAGTTTTAAAAATTATAAACATTGACGCTTCATTACGGCAAAGCTTTTAAAGACACTTGCCATCTGTTTTCTGTCCAATGTTTTTGTCAAGAAAACTGGTTTAAACTGGAATAATAATAACAGAAAACCAGTATCTGCATTTATTGTTTTTATAATTTAAGTATTTCATTTTGTATTTTAAAGCGGGATTGTCATAGCAGTTTAGATTTACGATCTTGATAAATTGTCATGATTTATGAAGTTTAAGACAATTCTTACTCGATACAAGTTTTCAATGATAATTGATTTTTTTAAGGAATTATAGCTGACTATGTGTTCCAGTTTAATGATCCGGGGAGGCATCATTCTAAACTTTTTATTAACTATCTTCAACCCAGTTCTAGCAGGTTACTCCATGTTTAACTTTACACTAAAGTAATTTAAGGGACCTATTCCCAATATTGCAAGTGACTTCTTACAACGGAAAGGATTCCAAAGTGACTTCTTCCTAATGAAAAATCCAAAGTTTCTTTTTTCCAATGGAAAAAATCACATGAGTAACTTCTTCAAAAGAAGAAGTCCAAGAGACTTCTTGCTGAGGACAATGCACCAAAGCGACTTCTCGCTGAGGACAATGCACCAAAGTGACTTCTGCTGAGAACAATGCACCAAAGTGACTCCTCGCTGAGGACAATGCATCAAAGTGACTTCTTGCTGAGGACAATGCACCAAAGTGACTTCTTGCAACAAGATTCCAAAGTATTCTATCCAAGGAAAAAGTCCTAAGTAACTTTTTCCATAAGGGCTGGAAACCATATTAATTTCTTCCCATTGAAAAATTTTACAAATTCAATAATTCCAAAGAACAAGATCTCAAAGTTCGACTTCGAGAAAATTGATCTTTATCCAACAAAACTTTTCCAAGCTGAGGGACGACAATTTTTCATGTGTCCTGGCCAAATCATTTACCTTTTCAAAATTGAAAATCATTCTGCTGTTTTTTTTTCAAACTTTTAGTCAAGTCTCATTTATAAGATGTTTAGGACTGAAAAGTATGATTAATTAATCAAATATTGTAGTTGGAGATTGTGATGAGATAAAAGTGAATCAGCAGTATTCCACCTGCAGGGCACAGTTTAAGGTAACTTACAGGGTGTCCCAAAAAAAATAGGAAAAGTAATTTACCAAATTTTTTGAGATTTCTCAAAAATGGTAAAATTTATCAACCATTTTGAAACCTTCACAATTGACAGAGATATAAAAAAAATCCATTTTGATATTAATGTAAACATTTTTTTGTAAAATTTGATTTAAAAATTGGTAGATTTTTTTGGTAGGTCAAGTAAATAGTAATGTATGAAATATGCAGTAAAAGTGCAGTTTAAGAGAATGAAAAAATTGAGCTTGTTTTTTTGCTTAAAATTACATTTTTTTTACTCTCTTAGTATTTTTCTTTAATTTATCTGTGAAAACCAGAAAACAGTGGAATTCTTGTCTTTTTTGTCTTTTTTTTTGGTTTTAAGCATTAAATACAACTAATGTGTAAAAGACAGAAAACAGAAGATTTTTATTCCACAATTTTCTGGTTCTCACTGTAAATTAACTTTTTGTTTTAAGGATGGGACAACTTGTGAAATTATCACAAAAATAATAGGTTCGTTATTTTTTCTCATTTTTTTTGTTTTATCAGTATTATTTCTCAATATTTAGAGATAAAAAGTTTGTTTGTTTATTTGTTTACATTTACTGTACTGCAGTTGAATGTCACGGTGTACTGGCAGATTGTAAATCTGAATCTGTTATTAAAGATATCAACGCTGATCTAATAAAAGCAAATATAGGTGAGTTACTTATTTATAAAATAACTAGTCAGAGTACCCAGTTTTGCCCTGGTTTTTATTATCATTAGTAACACCCTACAGTTTACCCGTACTAGGTGGTTAATTGTGATTTTACAAATATTACGCGACAATCCTTCACAATGATATGATTTAACCCCCCCCCCCCGTCTAAATCCCATGTTTGATGTCCAAATATGGCAAATGATACATCATTGGAAAGCTTTCATGCTCTACTTTAAAAATCCCTTAAAGAAAATTTTTCAAAATCCAGTTATATAGTAAAAATGTTTACAAAATAAAATGTCTTAAAAATGATAAAACATACATTTTGAAAAGCCCTTGACCATGGCATTTCAAATATGCAAAAAAATTTGCTAAATTTTAAATACCCTGATATGATGTTTAATTAAGGAAACCTAAAAATGTTCAGATTTCTTATGACATGTTGTTTGCAATAATTTGCTAAATTTCTTTGCAAAACTTGTGCAATCCGTTTCCTTATACCTGAAGGCTTTCCAAAAATTATCAAAATTATCAAAAAGTAGTCATTCAGGCAGTGTGCCTGAGGATTCAGGCAGTTTTAGACCTAAATTGAGGGCTATGGGTATTAATTAAAAAACAAAAAATTTTAACAGTCTCAGACAAATACTTTTTGAGTTATGGAAGGGTTATGTAATAGGGTTAAAACTGTAAAAGCTCTCCAAAAAGGCTAATCTCATTTTTTAAAATTACTTTTTATTTTTTTATTTTATATCATTATTTTCTAAATTATTTTAAATGTTTTTAAGCTGAAAATAAGACACTGAGTGACTGTGAGATAGTAAACCAGTATAGGTGAGACATCCACAAGTAATGTGCATTAAAGGGAGTGTTCGCGAAAAATGAAAGGGGGTATAGACGCAACAGATAGAAGTAAGATTAGTATCGATCAAAAGCACTTTTTTATCGCATTAAGCCTATACCCCCTTTCATTTTTCGCGAACACTCCCTTTAAAACGATAGTTTTTAGGTTTTTTTCCGTTCTTTTTTTCAGATAAATATATTGCAAAGTTTAGTAAAAGCATAATTTTTCAAAATACAGTTTTAAAATCTTTGAATTTTTATTAAAATGTTTTTCAAAAACAAATAAAATTGATTCACAAAAAATAATATTAAAAAGTCTCAAGAATCAATGATAAAATTTATAACATTTGGAAAATAATTATATTGACAATTTTAACAAAAAAAATTGTTTAACACGATAGATTCGGAGTTTTATCCAACTCTATCAATTAAAATTTTAAAATTATTTCTTTTTTTTTGAAAACCAGAGATGATGGTATTTTGGGACCAATCCCTCAACCAAACTGTACACAGGAGGAGGATGCACAACTTAGGAGGTGTAATTATTATTATTATTATTATTATTATTATTATTATTATTATTATTATTATTATTATTATTATTATTATTATTATTATTATTATTATTATTATTATCATTATTAGTATTATAATTAATATTATTATTATTATTATTATCATTACTATAATATAATTATAAAGATTTATTCACACACAAAGATATACATACATATATAAATGGTGTAGTTTAAATAAGTTTAAATAATTTGAATACAAAGAAAAAAGAAAAATAAATATTCAAAATTATTCACAAATAGGCAACATTTATCATTACTCATTACATGACATATTTATCATTTCAGTTATTACGCAATCATCGAATCCTTCAACATATAAATTATTCATTCTTGTTTTTAATAGTTCAGATAGCTCAGATAGATTTACAAAACAATCATTTGCAATGGGAAATAAATTTATGCCATGAATGAATGCCATTAAGGTCATTTTTGCATAAATTAGAAAGAAATCTGATGCAAAGCTTAGAACTTGCTTCAATAGTTTCATATGAAAGACACACATGTAAACATTGTGAAATACTTTCAATCAAGTACCTATGCGTATCTGTCAATTATTATAGCATTATTCCATGCTGTATACAATTTTGAAACACAAGTCCAAAATACTAGATCCAGAAAAACTACAACGATAAATATTATACAGTTTCAAAATAACATCTGGACTGTTAAAATAAAATTCTTAGAAACACTTCCTAAAACCAATGTAGACAAGGTAGACTAGGTAGACTAGGTAGACTAGGTAGACTATGTAGACTAGGAAGACTAGGTAGACTAGGTAGACTAGGTAGACTAGGTAGACTAGGTAGACTAGGTAGACTAGGTAGACTAGGTAGACTAGGTAGACAAGGTAGACTAGGTAGACTAGGTAGACTGGGTAGACTAGGTAGACAAGGTAGACTAGGTAGACAAGGTAGACTAGGTAGACTAGGTAGACTAGGTAGACAAGGTAGACTAGGTAGACTAGGTAGACTAGGTAGACTAGGTAGACTAGGTAGACTAGGTAGACTAGGTATACAAGGTAGACTAGATAGACAAGGTAGACTAGGTACACTAGGTAGACTAGGTAGACTAGGTACACTAGGTAGACTAGGTACACTAGGTAGACTAGGTACACTAGGTAGACTAGGTACACTAGGTAGACTAGGTAAACTAGGTAGACTAGGTACACTAGGTAGACTAGGTAGACTATGTAGACTAGGTAGACTAGGTAGACTAGGTAGACAAGAATACATCTAATAGAAGCATGTCTAGGTTATCTGTGACACATTACAAAATGTTACAAATTTTTGCGAAGGAAACAATTCATTCATTAATTAAAAAATGCAATTGAATTTTTTTTCAAGAGTTTAAGGGAATAGCGTTGTTATATCAAAATTTAAAACTTTCAATTGCAGTTTTTCTCTGAAATTGAGTTGCGGACTTATTACGCAGAAACAAGGAAGGAATTAACAGAATTTATCTTTAAAAGTTTTTAGATGTCAGGCATGCATTTTTATATATAAGAAAGAATGAATGAATAAAGGAATGTTGGATAAGTGTATGACACCTCCGGACAAAAAACAACTGTTCAATGTTCAATTGGAGAATTTGAATCAGTTCATTCAGGTAAATCTAAAGTGGTGACCCCAAAGTAAATTTATTTATACATAAAGTACACAGAGTAGAGAAAATTTAGTTTTCAGGCAAAGCTGGGTACCCAGGTAGTTACATATTATACCAAGAGAATGAATTATGTGAGGAGAAGGATATGTAGATCTCTTCATGTTCTTGTCTCCATAAATACTGGTTTGCGGATTTATCTAATCTTGTTGATGGATTTATTTCTTGATGAGTTTTAAGCGATATTGGCTCCGCTGCACCTATAAATGTTATTAATTATTTTAAATCAATTTTTTTTTTAAATCTGATAAAACTTGCAAGATCTCCATTTTTATTCTTAAGTTAAAGTTGACTTTTATTGAACTTTCAAATATATTTATCCTAAAAAAGTCAAAAATCGAAAAAGATTCAAAAACTGTTGTTACAACATGACTGGTTTTGAATTTTTCATCTTCTGTCAGGGACAACCGTTTACAAAGTGTACAAAAATAAATGTTTAAAATAAACAAATTTAAAAATATTTACTTTACTTATACTCTTCAATTGTCAAATTTAGAACCTAAACCTATTGATACTGTATCTGTATATTCAGAGCTGCAGGAGCTTTAGAATAATGGTGGATATTGAAATCAATGCTTGATCCTTTCTTTTTGGTAATTTCAAGACTAAATTGGTCCCAAGATTATTGTCTAGAGATAAGAGATACGCTCTTTAACTTTTGAAAAACTGGTTTTTAATTTTTCCGCATTTGTTGTTTCCCATCAATTGAACTAATGATCGATTGAGCAAACACAAGTGTTGGATTAATATTTATAAAGACTAATGTTCAAAATTACTATAAGTCCTAAAACGTGATTAAGTATTTTTTTTTTAATAAGTTCATATTAACATGTCCCTGTTTTTAAAGCTGGTAAGACTGACAATCTCTCTAATTATCGGCCAATTTCCTGTCTTCCTGTAATGTCAAAAATTATTGAAAAGTTTGTTTCTAAACAGCTATTTGAATTCATTTCATCCAATCAGATTCTTTATAAATATCAATTTGGTTTCCAACCTGGAAAATCGACTACACACCCCTTGCTTCACATTGTCGACTTTATCTCAAAGGCATTTAATAATGATGAGTTCGTAATTGCAGCTTTCCTTGATTTCCAAAAGGCCTTTTTATTAAAAAACTGCGTAATATATGAGTGAGGGGGGTTGCTTTGAAGTGGTTTGAAAGTTATTTAAGAGACAGAAAGCAATTTGCAATGGTAAATGGAAAGATTTCTGAATTCTTTAAGACTATCAACATTTCTGTTCTACAGGGGTCAATATTAGGTCCATTTGTTGACACAAATAAAAGAACAAAAGGGCTATTCTTTAACTTTATTGAATAATAGCATAAAATGAGAAATAAAATCAAATTTGTTTTAAAATATTGACCCTTAAATTGAGTATCTAAACGGTTGAAAATGAAATAACATTGATTATTAGTGTTGAAAGGAATAGAACAGTTGGAGCTTCATGATGGTCAGCTCGCAGGTGTCAGCATCTTGGCAGCAAAGGGTTCACATCTAGGCGACGGTCCTGGAGGGTTTGCAGTCTGTAACATGTGTGGGGAGGAACGATTTGCCTCTCATACCACAGGACATGCGACTGTTTTGTGGATTTGGACATCTGGAGGCTTAGACATTAGCCGCATTTGTTGATAGAGTAGGCATCTGTGGCAGTATGAAGGAGTTAGTAGTTCCTAATCGGAGGTGTTCACATCTTGATGTTCTAAAGCTAACTGACGCTGTTCTCTACGAGTAGAGGCGGATAGGGGGGGGGGGGAGAACATGAAGAGACACATTTGGAGCAGATATAGTTTAATGTTATGTAAATCTTGCACGGTCAACTGCGCTACACATTGGTAATCGTCTTCGTATTTTCTTGAATTTGTTACACCATTATTGTTTTTAATATTTATAAATGACATGCATAAGTCTAATGCCCTATTTAATGTCCAATTTGCTGATGACACAACAGGTCTTTGTAAAGGTAAAAATTTGAATGAAATGGTACCTTTTGTCAATCAAGAGTTGCAAAAAATTGGTGTTTGGTTGGGTTCTCATAAACTTTCTATTAATGCAGGCAAAACAAAAGTCATGATCTTTCATCCAAGGGGTAAAAACGTTGATCCGAATCTAAACTTTGTATTTGATAACAACGACTAAAACTGTTCTATTAATCCTGATCTCATTCATCCTGTAGAGAGAATAAAAAATTCTAGTACTGGTCCTTCTTATAAAGTTCTTGGTATTTTTATTGACGAAAACCTTACTTTTGACTATCACGTGAAATCTACTTTGAATAAAATCTCTAAATCATTATTTACTCTCAATAAAGTAAAGAATTCCTTGTCTTCTACCGCTCTTAAAAGTTTATACTACGCTTTAATTCATCCATATTTTCTTTATTGTCTGCCTGTTATTAGCTGTTCAAGTCAAAAAAAATATAAGCATGTTAGCTCTAAAACAAAAGCGGTGTATTCGTATTATTTGCAAAGCTAGTTACAATGCTCATACTGAGCCTCTGTTTCATTTATTAAAAATCCTACCTCTTGCTGATCTTATTTTACAACAGAAGCTTAATTTTATGCACTCTATTGAATATTGCTATGCACCGTCTTCATTTATAGATAACAAAACCTTTCCTAAGAACAGTCAAATTGATGTTCCTCCTTATCCACTTAGAAATATCAATGATTTTTTTAGTCCTCGAGTTTGCAATGAATTTCTTACTAGATTTCCATTTTACTCCTTTCCCATTTGTTGGAATACTCTTGATCCTACATTTCAGTCAATAAGCAATAAGAACGCTTTTAAATACTCAGTTAAACTGCATTTGTTGGAAAGATTAGAAAACTTTGTTTGTAATAAACTTTTCTGTTATACCTGCTCTAGACTCTAAATCTTAAGGGTTAAAAAATTGCGAATCAATTATTCCTTTTCTGCCCTGATATCTTCTGGAATTTGTTGAGTAAATTTGGTGTACAGATTGTAAAGGTTGGGGGTTTTATCTAGTTATTAACGATCTCATCATCTTTACTCATTTATATAGATTTCCAGTTAATCATATATTCAGAATTGATAAATTGAAATTTGTAAGATTATGTATTCATTGGAGTCCAGATTGTCCTGATTAATTAATATTTATAAATCATAGTTGAAGCTAAGAGGTCCCTGTTCTCCTCTATCCAATCCTCCTGCCCTACCTAAATCATCCACCACCAGCACACCGTCAATACCGTATCTATAGTTTTACTTTCTTTTATTATCGAGCAACTGGTGAGCTGAAATGAAAACAGCTACAGCAATAGCAGTTCTCCAGACGCAGAACATTAATCAGTTGACAATTAATCTACCACTTGTAATAATGATTTATCAATGTTTCTGCGTTAATAAATAATATTTGATTTGATTTGAAATTTATATATGTTTAAATGCTCTAAAAGCCGGCTTGTGAACAACTGACTTTAGTTCAATCAGATATTAGTCCAATCGATATAGCATCGTATGTAATTATTATCAAACGTAACTTTTATACAGTTAAAAAGAGAGGATTAATAAGAAAATCAAAAATGTGTACATTGGTTACTCAGATTTAGCGATCTCCTGGACCGTGTATTGATCAAATTATTGATACTGTATCTGTATAGGATCTGTTTAATGTGACAAGTGGATTAAGTGTAGCTACCTGTAATATAAGGAAGGGAGGGGTTACTCCTGGACCATCAATAGATCAAACTATTGATACCGTATCCGAGCATCTACAGAACGTGAAAACATCCACAAGGTTTTTTACTTTAATTAACTATTTATAACACTGTTATTTTGGTTCGCAGTGTTAAAAAGTTTTTGGACAGAAATTTTCTCTTTATCGCAAAGGTTCAAGCCTTTTTTAGATTTAATTTTGTCCTGAGCTTAAGCAAGGGACAAAAATAATTTAAAAAGGCAAGAACCATCGAGATATAGAAAAGATTTAAGTCCAAACATTCTGTAGCACGTCATGCCAGAACAATAGTGTTATAGGTATGTTTATGATACGTTTGTGTACTAGTCTTATTTCAATGGCTCTTTAAAATCAAATAAGCTTTGAAACAAAGCAGAAGTCAAAATTTAAAGTTGATTTTAATTTTATTTTCATTTCAATTGAAAAAAAAATATTTTGAAAATTTACTAAATCTTTTGGAGAAAATCCGGGAACCAATCAAAACTTTTTTAATCACGTGCTATATCTGAGTAATTTAACTTTATAGCACAATGATTACTTTTTAGCACAATCATTATGAAATTCGCGATGAAATGAGTAAATATGATAAAGTACACTATAGTTTCATAAAATTTATTTTGGTTAAGGGTTGTGGGCAAACAAATAGAACGATATATCAATAAATCTTTTTTTTCAGTTTGTTATCAAGGTCTTTCTATTATTTTGTGTTTCCTTTAACAATTACTAAAAATAATAAAGTTTGTCCCAATAAACTATAGGAGATATGAAACAATCTTAAAATCGTCTTTCATTTACAAAAATTGATGATTGGAAAGGACTGATACATGAACATCCATCCATAATAAGATTGTTCATTCAATGAGCTTTCCCGAAAGGATAAGACCGTAGAGATGCCTTGAATCTTTTTAAATACGAAGATGACAAGTTTAAATTAAGTTTTTTGTCTGAAATGTGGTCTTTATGTGGCTTATCTTTATGATTTGACAAAGAAAGAATGAAGTTTATAGTTATAAATATGAATTTAAGTAAACAGAGGCCAAATATTTAAAGAATTTAAGCAGTGGCTCAAATATGGTTGGTTCCACTTAAAATTGAATTAAATTTTTCAAGATTTAAGCCGGCGCTCAATTAAAACCGGGTTTTGGGGGATTTGATACGCGGCCTAAATTCATTAAATTTGGCCTCAGGCAGTATAACATTCCGCACATTTTTGGATAGCCCTGTATATCAATATTATAGGGAAATAGTGAAAGCTTTGTCTGGTGTATCCTCGGGACCTAAACAGAGGAAAATACAAGTTCATTCCGCAGGTACAGGGTGTCCCGCTAAACATGAAAGTAGCAGAAGACGAATTGAAAGTCGTCTTTGCTCTTTGAATTCGTCAACCTACTTAAACATGAGTGATATCTTGAAACAATAATTAGTCCTGGCAATTTTAAATAAATGACAAATAAATGCAGAAAATTAAACAAAAATCAAAGACGACGTTAAAATTGTCTTACTACTGTCATGTTTCGCGGGACACTCTGAACGTAGTTCGTGTTAAAGGGACTGTAAACGTTATTTCAAGTGTTCTCGTTGCAAAGATGCCCGATTAACAACCGCTTACCTTGCACATATTCGTCTGATCAAGTATAGAATAAAATATTCATTTTTTTTTGTTTTGTTAAAACGTTAACCTGATTTGTAACTACTCTGCAAAAGTGACTTGCGCATTTCTTGTTAAAGAAACAACGGCGAATTTTTTTACTGAGAAAAATTCTAATTCTGTCTGAAGATTGTTCCAAATGTCGTCTTCATTTTCCCACTTTTTTTTGTAAGAATCAGAAAACAGTAGAATTCTCTGTTAATTTTTGTTCTTTTCATTATGAAATATCGCTTAACAACTATTTCTAAAAAGGTGACATAAACATTTTTAGAGATATATTAGTTTAACAATTTTAGGAAACCCAAAGACGACAATAATTTCACTGCTCTCAGCTCTGGTTCTAAATAATGTTTTTATTTTAGGATTTTCTCTGCATTTACTTCCTGAAAACAGATTTACCCTGTTCATTATCCTTCTTCTAGTTCTTATAAGATAATTTTCTAATCTAAAATTGTTCAATTATTATCGAACAATTGTTAAACCTTTGTTTTGATACACCGGGTCACCCACGACCCACATGAGATGTTAAAAACGAAGTTGGACCAATTTCATTTCGTCACATTTCTCACATTCTATGTTATTTACTTTGCCAAATCTAAAATTATGCAATATGCATCGATGGTAAAAGTCCAAAAAGTCTAATTTAATTCTTTAATTTGTTATATTGAAAGAGGTTCAGGTATACATTCATTTATTCCTCTTTAACTTTATACTTCGTCAAGTTTTTTTTTTAATTTGCCAGTATTTTTATTTGCAGTTTAAAATTTTTTAATTTTATTTTTAATCTTTGATTTACGTCGTTGTACAGATTATTTTTTTTTACTATAAATAATACAATTTCTCTTCAATGCAATGGTTTAAGAAAACCCATGTTTAAGAAAAATTAATTGAAATTTAAATTTCTATATCTTAAGTTTTAAAAATGCTGCGCAAATACAGTTGAAGGTTGGAAATTTGATACTTACTGCTGATTGTAATGATACTGTTTCAATTATAATTTTGCCAGAATTTAACAGATTTTAAAAATAGACAATTTTTATGATTAAAGGGATTGTAAGCGTAATTTCAAGTGCAAAGATGACAATTGCTGGTTAACAACGGTACAATGGTGTATTTTTCGACCTACGCAAATCTGCTATACTCCACTTCTGACCTACTCCAAATCTGCTATACTAGCACGTGGTTTTACATCTGCTATATGAACTTGTGACCGCAGCGCGCGGCCCTCTAGCCTGTCCTAGCCGTCACGCTCGGCCCCCTAGCCTGTCCTATACCGCAGCGCTCGGCCACCTAGCCATGTCCTAGCCGCAGCGCTCGGCCCTGAAATTGTCTTAACCTAGCCTAACCCTCAAATAATACAAAAATAAACAGCTGGCGTAGGTCCGATATTGCAGTAGGTCGGAAATTTTGTAGGTCAGAAGTTCAGTAGGGGAATGTTGCGTATATGTTTCTCGGCGAAGTGACTTATTTTAATCAGATAAAGGTTTCAAGGGTACCGTTGTAAATCAGCAACGCCATCTTTGCATTGAGGTTCACTTAAAGTTACACCTGTAATTCCTTTAAACTAGCCTTTAAAAGAGATTTTTGAGAAAATAGCATTAAATATAGTTATGTTGACCTTTCTCATGTTAAAAAACGACGCTAATGAACAATAATTATTGCAATTCTTTAACGTAAATGGCCACCATTAAATGTTCACTTTAATGACTGTTCTCATTGTAAATGTCTTTAAGCTAAATGTTTTATTTGAAATGTTTAAATAAATTTTCAATAAAAAACCCATGTGTAGTTCATGATTATTTTTCTATATTTTAATTATAAATAAATTTACCCTTTTGTATTATTTTATTTTAACGGTTTTAAAAAGGATTTTTTTGTTTTGCAAGAAATATGACAAATATTAGTCCATGTGTTGCCTATATCCCTGTATAAAACAAAATCACTTCAATACTGATTCCTGAATATGTAAAATCGTGAGTATCCATTCAGCCTTGGGGCCATGACGGCCATCTTTATTCTGCCATTTAGCTCGATCAGCACACACAATCTTTTCCCGCCACTTTTCTCCGGATTCAGCAGTTTGCGCGAGATGCCGCAAACACTTTATGGTAAATTGAATTAGGCAGTTGAGTCGTGAAAGGGAGGAAATATTCAACGTAAAAACTTATATTTATCGATATTGAAAATATGAAAAGGGATGGGGGGGGGGTCTTCTGTGGAAAAACGCTTAATTATATTCAAGTATAGTTGTTTTTTCCACTCCTTAACTTATGTAATGTATTATTCATATTTGTCAAGATGATTATTAAAAATGAAAAGAACGCATAATGTTAGTCCAACAAGATGACTGAATTATATCATTATCTCCCTTTCCACTCCCCTACTTTTTAAGTATCGTCATTCGCAAACAATTTTCATTGCAATAATAATAGTGGAGATCAATTATACATTTTTGTTAATCATTATCATGATGAATTTAAAAAATTGACAATTTAAAAATATCTCAATTGAATAATTTCAGTAAAAACTATTGCTGCACCTATCAGAATTAAAGGGACTGTTAAGAAAAAATGAAAGGGAATGATAGGCTAAATGCTAATCACTTTAGCTCTTGATCGTGACCCATGAAAGTTATATGTGATGTTCCTCGTCACATGTCTCTGTCTGTATCACGTTACCAGTATACTGCACTCTCATTGTTGGGAGTTCTTGTGAAGCAATACGGACTTAAAAATAATATTATCAATTATATCTACTAAAGATAAAAATACAAATTATAAAATAATAATTGGAGAAAACCTAAGTTACAATTAGGTTTCTCTGGGATATCTTTGTTTTCAGATTGGTTGCGTATTTGCTGAATATGATCTGTTTAAACCTATTATTTCTATACAAAATTGAATATATATGAATTTTCGTATACTTTTGACCTCCTTTAATTTTTTCCTTCACAGACCCTTTAATTTGGGAAAATATTATAAATTATAATGCAGTGCTAAGCTTTAAATGCCAATCTTTTTAGTTTTTACTATACAGTGGTACCCATAAAACAGTGGAATAGGATTACAATTGTCAGTTGCAAATTATGATTTTGAATTTTTGCAGCGTACTCGAAGTCCCATTTCTCTTATTATGCTGATTTTTAAGCTGTACTGATAAAAATTGTTGTTCAATAAAAAAAATAAAATTAAAAAAGATTGCTTATAATGTCGTCTTATTGTCTACACCCTCAAAACAAACTGTTTATGTTTTATTTATCAACAAAACATCCAGTTAATTAAGTTTTAAAATTATCTATCTGATTTTCATTAATTTTGTTTGTAATAAGAAATCAGAAAACGAAAAGTAATATATCAATCCAATACATGGGAAGAAATCAATGATAGCCAACTTTAACAGATTATTAAAAGTTGGATCTCAAATATGCTGTCGATAGTTGAACTGCAGATCCATAGAGTGTACAATGTATATATAAAGAGAGATTCAAAGGAACATAGGCAGCCCTGACACTCAAAAGATTATGACATTTTGATCTTATATTAGTAAGGCATGCAAATAAATTCATTTAAAAATGAGAAAGTTGAATTTGAATTCTACATAAACATACTGCATGTTTTTTACAATAAATATCAAATATTTTAGAAGACAATGGAAACTATTTTCAAACATCTTATCTCTCATACATTACTAGTCAACGTTATTTAATGCAGGGGTTGTATATTAGTTATTTTACTTGATACTTGATTCTTAGTGAGGAGGGGGTGGGGAGTTTTTATTTTTTTCCCCACATCTGGTTTTCCTACGTAACTTAAAACGTCTTTACACTGTAGACCTCACACTTCTTTACTTTCTTTCAGCTTCATGTTTTTCAGGAAAATTAAAAAAACAGCCCATAACATTTTTGTTAACTGAGCAATTACTTATTTGAAAATTAAACCCTTGAAAAATGGGTGGGTCAAGTTTTAGTATATTTGTCAAAAATAAAAATAAATATTTTTAAACAAATTTATTTTTACTTTTGATTGTTTTTAAACCTCCTTATACCCTCACCATTAAAGTTAGAGGTCTAATTGTTTTCATGAACTTGCCTTGGAAAGTTGCATTTAGAACATGTATCACATACAATCCCTTATATCTGCTCTAAGGAACAATCGTATTAGGGGGAGGGGCAAGTGGAATCCGCCCCCCCCCCCAATCTATATTAGCCAAAAATATCCCAATCGGTATAGGGTTAAACAATCTAATCTGCGTTAAATTGTGTATTTCCAGTTATAATCAAAAGTAATTGAAGTAAATATCTATGTTTTATTTCGTTCGTATTCACTATATAGTTTAAGAAGAAGCAAATATTTCCATTTACTGATAGCGCCGATTGAAGGATTCATAACTCTGATTGAATAATACGATAGATGTTAGATAGATGTTACCACCATACTATTTCTACTGGTTCAGAATAGACAACAAACACATGACTGAACCCTGATTGGATCAGACGCTAATGGACTCAGCATACACGAGTAATTCCATAACTTTGGTTCAGAACAAAGTTTGAAAAGTCTCTTTAAAAGCAAGTGTATATTTATTTGTATATTTATAACATGCTTTAGGACAAATAGAGTTGTAAGATCAGCGTTTTCAACCATTTTCACCTAATATTACACAACAAATAGAAATAAAATTAGCAGCGATCTAATCCAAATGTGATCAGGAATCAGCCTAACCTCCATTTTGTTTTTTTTTGCGAACATTCCCTTTAGATTAGTTTATAAAAAGTCTGTACCAACTACCGACCATAGATCTGACATAGGTGTAGACGGTGTAGACAAAGTGTGTAGTATTCTGACACCTTTATCTTCGATTTATCTTATAAATGATCCTCCTGATACTCCCAGGCCCTAGTTCTAGGTATATATACTGATACACTAAACAATACAATAACTGATAACCAAGGATATAATACTGCCAAGAAAACTAAACTAAAAACATTTAATCTTGATTGTTTCGAATTTCTTTTTTTAATAAAAACTTGATATTCTTGTATATTATCAAAATTATAAAAACCCCCAAAAAAATTGGCACAATTTTTCGATTTTTTTCTTCAAATTTTAACACCTTATTGTGGGAAATTTGTTGAAACAGACTAAAACCACTCCTAGAGCAAAACCGAATGAAAAATATGGGTTCGATCTGTATTTTCTATGATTCAGTTAGTTCCTGTATTCAGTTTTCTTGATTCAGTTAGTTCCTGTATTCAGTTTTCTTGATTCTCTCTCCTTTCTCTAGACTAATGTTTTCGGATATAAAAGCGTGAAATAAATGATGAAGAAAATCTTCCAGTTTATTGTAATGTATGTATTATTATTATTATTTTACCTTTTTTTATTTCTTTTTATTCAACGTACATTCAACGTTCCCTTTATTAGATTTTTTTTTAAATTATTGAATAACGACGAAAAAAAATGTAGACAAAATTCTACAGTAAACTAATTAGTTGTTTGAGAACAGGCTGAGAAAATAAAATTTAATCTTATCATCGAAAATTATTCAATTATTAGTTTTTATTTTCTCTTATTGTTCACAAAGATTTTCTGCAGATTTCTGGAATTTTTATTGAAAAGACGACATTTAAAGAATTTGAAGAAATCTGCGAACAAATTCTATGGAAAATAAAAAATTCAATATAATGATGAAAACGAAATAATTGATTCTAGCATTGATTTATGGACAAATTTCTTTTGAAAAATATGTTCCTAAAACATCTCATTAGTTTACTATATAGTTTTTTTACCTTATTTTTCGTCGTCGTTATTTAATAATTTGAAAAAAACCGATTCTGAAAACATACCCATCCAAATTCATGATTTTGAATGTCGACTATGCACTCAAACTCAGTAATTTTTACATCGTGGAAACGTTATATGTCTCAAATGAATCCTAAAGAATTTGTCCACAACACTGCCTACTCAGTTTAACTATCTTACATAGCCGGTCTGTCCCTTTAATAATTTTCTAGATTTTGATATTTTTTAAACAGGCGATGATTCAGCTTGTTTTAATGGTGTCATTAAATTTATTTCCGTACCGTATAAAAAACTTTGTGAAAAATTAAACATTTATTCCCCCCCCCCCCCCCCGGGTTACAATAGAAT